ACAGTTTTGCCGAATAGTGGGAAACTTGTAGTCCACTTCGTCTTTTGGAAGAAATAAAAATTGGAATCTGCGATGCAATTATGTGTCACACAATACGCCCATGCATGGAGTCCAAGACATTTCTTACTTTCATCTGACACACTATTCCACTTTACTTTTTTCCGTTTCTGACCTCTTATTATGAGTGGACAGAGCGGAAAAGCGTTCAATCGGTACATTGATCATTCCAGCAGCAGGCATTAATACTAATTTTCTTTTGTCCTCCGGCACCCACCCATGTAACAAGCCCTTTCAACCTCGTTCCCAGGGTCTTTTCCCTGGCTTAGGGGTGGAACGCGAACAAATCCGGTTCATATCAGTGTAATTGTCGTCTATTTGAACATCTATGGTGTCTGTGTTAACAGTTGACATTTTGCTAATACAGTTCAACCCCTATTAAATGGCCACCCTCTGGGAAATGGATAGTGGCCGCTTAAGGTGGCCGAACATAGTTTAGATACCTGTGTTTCAATCTCCTTTTTCTCTAAAACCCTTGATCCTTTGGTCGCCAAAAATGGCAACACGCAAGTCAACAACACAAACTTCGCATTTTTGATAGCTAGGCTGACGTAAGTGCAGTTGCCATGGCAACTGGAATAAATATAAACAGGCCTTTAAAATCGGTTTTGTTTGTTTGCAGAAAATCTAGTCGTTAGATTTTCTTTTTCATTTGCATGCAACGAGATTGTAACAATGCTCACAAGTTGGCATTATTTTAATAATAGTTTAATAGAGGGATCTTTAATTATCACTTGCAGACGTTTAACTGGAACATCTAGAATCGCCTCTGTCAATTTTTTTCCATATTCCAGTTACTTGTTTTCTAAAGTATTTTCTTGCTAAATTTCGTAAAATTCTAACGAGTGGTTCTCGAGAAATATGCATATTTCCAAGAAAGCTATTCCGCATTCAATCGCAATTTTTTTACCTTACTACGCATGCGCTGCATCTAACTGAGTTCTTTCGGTAAAAAAGAAAAATCTGAGAATTGCTGGGTTCTTTGCATCGTTACCTTTTCTAACATACATTTTTGATAAAAAGAGTAAAGCCATAAATACACTGTTCAATTATGAAGAAAGTACAGACGGCGAGGACATTCACCAAATAAAATGATCGCTGTATCGACGCCACGGTTGCTTTGTACAATCCTTGTGCGCGCGCTGAATGGCATTAGCAAGAGCGCGCACGGAAATTAAGTTTGGCCACCTTAAAAGGGGTTGGCCGCTTAACAGAAGTGAAAAAAAATAAAAAATAAAAAATAGGAAAGCCGTCATTGGGACTGATTTCTGGCTACCTAATAGGGATGGCCGTTTAATAGGTGGCCGCGTAATGGGGCTTCGACTGTAACGTCGAGGTTCTCGGTTGAAATTTCCGATCACTCATCGGCCGGTCTTCTGTCGACCTCATCCGTAAACAGCCTGAAGTAACGATTCTGCTATCCATTAGATTATTTATTAAAACGGTGTTTATTGCGGCGGAAGGAGCCAGGAAAGGCGGAGACGTACTGAGGCCAGAACCTCCCACTTCCCGTACCATGCTCTTCCGCCTCTCGGACCCTTGTTTTTTGACACCCGCACTTTTCCGCGTTACTCCTGGGCCCATGCCAGGTAAATTAGACGTCATGACCAAAAACGTAAATAACGCTAAGGGCTGTACATGCATTTTCACCGGAAGTCAGCCTGGTTTTGTTTCGAGTCCGAGAGCGAATTTTCGTTTGTTCGTAGTTCGGAGATAATATTTTGCCCAAAGCCTCGGTGGACGCTCGGCGCAAAAAATTTTGCGGCTTGCATTTACCTCTCGCTTTCCGCCCTCTTAAAACTTTCGCCATCCCGTCTCCTATACCACTCCCGTCCCACATACTGGCGGGTTCCCGTCTCTATGTTCTCTTCCATGGTTGTGGGAACAGGAGCCAGAGACAAGTCTTCTCCCAGTTCTCACCCTTTTCTTTCCTGTCTCACGCACCCCTCCCGCACCCGCTGTTCTCCTGGGCTCACGCTCCCCTCTCCCCATCCACTGAGAGCATCTGATCGTAAAGGAGCGTTCACTTTCACGTCATATACAGGAGGATGATGATCAAGTGGATCAAGAAGACGACCCTCGACAGAAAAATACGCCTGTAAGGTAGCTGGAAAGAGTTTCCAGCTCTTTGCCCCTCTTCCTACTTTCAGTGATTGATCAATACTCCCGCGGGGAGGGGAGTACTCCCAGAAAAATTTGGTGGGGGTGTGCGGCCCGCTTCCCAAAACCCTTACCATATTTATGACCAAAATCTGAGATTTTCCCTCCCCTATTTATGACCTGACCAGAAATTCGATACCCTTTTTATGACAGTTGCGGCCGACACAATTGCCCTAAATATAATTTTTGAAGGACTTTTGCTCATGGTCTTACCACTACTGATAAAAAAGTGGCTTCTTCTAAACAACATACCTTAGTATATACCACCCAAGTGAATAGTGTTTTTCGCGCGTTCTGATTCGTTACCTCCGAGGTGATTAGCAAGTACTGTTCACCTCCGAGCAGCCGGCGCGAGAGATTTTAAAATTTCCGACTGCTTGTCACACATAAAATAAAGTTTTGGTCCGCTAATTATTCAGCTTGTGTGGTATATACTAAAACAATTATTCACCTCAGTGTCGGTGAAAGTGATGGATATATCCACCACTATTCACCGCCCCTTCGGTGAAAAATTGTTAATTATTTATGAGCAAAACAGCTGAAAACCATACCCTTTGGGGCCGCACATACCTACATAGCCCATATGAGGGAGTACCTCCCCCCGTACTACAACAATTCTTTGCCAGACTCGTGATTCTACAAGTGATAACACAGATGCAAAAGCACTTATGCTCAAAATTGTCAGCATGGAATCGATTTGCAAGGGTCAAACGCTTGTTTTTTTGTTTGTTTGTTTGTTCGTTTTTTTCACGGTCTTTACCCCCATTTACGATAAACAGACTGATGAGTCAAGTAGGATAATCCCTTGCAAGGGGATCACGGAATGTTATCGCTTCCGTCTCGATCACGGAGACTATCGACTGATCATTTTTCCTTGAAGACTTAATTTTGTCCAGTGAAAATGGCACACGAATTACTCTCGAACTTCAACAGAACTAACTGCTTACCCTGGTAAACGAGAAGTCTCTTATATTTTTTGTAGGTTTAGGGATAATCTTGGTCCCCTCAAAACCTTAAAACAATCGTGATTTTCTCGTGTTTGATTATAGTTTTGGAGGTTGCATAACACATTGTCTGGTCACGTGATCACAGCAGGTGAAAGATAAAGAATAGTTGATAACGAAGGGTTCCATTTTACTTTATAGGAAAACTTCATTCACAGTATAGATTGTGTTATTTCATAGCACTTCACCTGCATCCTTTGAATTAAAAATATGCATACTTGTCTAGGTAAATCACACAGATGCGAAGATATTACAGTCTTGATTCAGCTACATGCGGATACATATAACGTTTTGCCTCACATCAAGCCGGCTTTAAACAGATCATTGCAGTGTGAGTTTGTTTCATGTTTAACCCGGTTAGCTAAAGGTGGAATAGCTCTCATCTCGGAAATCAGCCAATTAGTTTGACAGGAATGTTAGAAATTTATTCACGCAATCACGGATGACTGGCATTAAAATAAACATCTGCGAGTCGTTATATGATCTTTTAAATTTTTATCAGTCTAGCTGGTCTACTTATCCTGGTAAGCTATTCGAGTTGATGACAGCTGAGAAGTAATTAATTAACACCCGGCTCGGCAATATCGGGCACGATCTGGATGGTCTAAATTTGGTGTATCCTAAACTAATTGCGGAGTAACGCGAGACTAATTGCGGTTTTGTTTTTGTTCACTGATAGTTGAGAAATATCAGAGGGTGAAATCAGTTCTTTGAGCGCTACCACTTGAAGATCGCGCCCGGTCCCCCACAGTATGTTGCGGCGGGAAGGCGACCTCCAAAGAAGGATCTGGAACGAGAGTAAAAGATGCGCGCAAACAATTCCGTTTCCAGATCAAATTCTCGGCAACATTAGCCTACGTGTAGCCGTACCATCCAGGAGGGGTGGGTACGTCCACACGTAGGCTACAATCTTGGACAGAATAAAATGGAACAATTATCCCCCATCCCCCACCAAAGCAACGACGAAGGCGCGAAGGAGCAAAAACGCGCCATTTTGGCNGGGGGGGGGGGGGTCCAGATGTTACATTTATTTTGTCCAAGATTGTAGGCAATATTGATAAGGCTGCCTTGACGGTTCTTGAAAAATCTATTCAGCTTTGTCTCGTTAACGTGACCAAGTAACAGACCGTAAATCGCGTTTGGTGCGTGCAGGATATCACCAGAAAGATAACTGTCGACGCGCACGGCTTTCTGTTAACAAGACGTATGTCACGCATCAGGCGAGACGAAACCTCGAACTTGTTCACCTTGGCTAGTGTATATGACAGGGAGTCAATTCTATTGCTAATACTCATGACTTATCGTGGGCGACTGAAAAAAAAAAAAAAAAAATCGAAAATGAATCTGGCACTACAGTTGATATTGTACATTGTGCTGTTTGGCGAGTGACGTAATTGCTGTTGCTTCTGATAGAATGAGAAATGTCTCCAAGAAAAATTTTTAATGGAGACATCGGCACGTTGCACGACGCAGGAAATGCCAAGCTAGAAACCTGCTTGACACTATAAACGAGACTCTCAAAGGTGTCACTTACACACCTGTAACAGCTGGGTAAGGATCTGATTCCACGATCGCCTGTAATTTCTTAGTTTCTAATTTGCCCGCAAAGTCCTTTATGCACATAACGAAAAGTTTCTTCCCTAGCATGGACAACAGTTAGCTTAAAGGCGACAGCCTCAGAGGTTTCATTAACGTTTACAGCCGGAGGGCAATCGGTTTTCACAGGCGGGCAAAACTTTTTGAACTGAAATTCTTTATAAGAAAAACTCTCAGTCCTGTAGATGGTCAAACCAGGCGAGCAAAATCCTCCTCACAGCCGGTCAATTTGCCCGATGAAACCTCTGACGTGCAGTGTTTCGGACGTGACAATTGTACAACTCTTTCCAAAGAGGACGCACCAGGTCAGTGCAGGTCAACTACTTTCGCAATGTGGTTGGGTAGAAGCCAAACTATGTGTGGAATCTCTTGATAAAAAAATATTTAAAGACGCAGGTCAAACTGTTGTCATCTTGGAACAAAAGGTATTATTTTCGGGGTCACTACCGAGATAAGTCGTCTCCGCAGACAACCCAAACACGCGGTAGAATGTTACACAGATTTCCATCGATACGGCAAGACAAACATTGGACCCCTTACACTCTCTTTTAGGACTTCATGAACGAGTAGCTTCCCAACATGAGTAAAGGAAAACGTGACCTAGTTTACGAGGGCTATGCCTTGCCAAAACTGACCATCAAAGAGTTGCTTGCCAGCAACGCACGGAAAAATTCTGAGCTTAAGAACTTCCACAAACAACTGGACAAAGAGAAAGAGGAACTCGTCAGTGACTTTTCTAAGACACGATCTCACCTGCTCTCTCGAGCTCATGGTTTACTTTTGGAAGGGCAAACGTATGCTTTGAGCGAATATCACAGTGATTCGGATGAAGAGCAAAGAGTCATCGAAAATGGCTCTACCTTTGATGCTCCTGATACATCATCCTGGGAAACGACTCTGTTTTCCGCACCGAAGAATCTTTCGAGCTCACAAGTTGCGGACGACGCTTGTACCAGGTCAGAACGAAATCTAAGGCACAAACAACAATGGGCGGACAAAGTTGCACACTTTGATCAATCTTCGGCCGTTAAAACGGAGCCCGTTTCATCGAAAACACTACCAAAGCGTAAGATAAGCTGGGCAGGAAGGACTAATGCGGTGGATAACTGGGACGCAAGAAGCGACATGAGTAAGGCTAGCTCCGAGGGAAATCTTTCTTCACAGAGGGCAACCTGTGCTATTAGCAACGCCTCTCGTCCGAGGGTACGAAGACATACAGTCGCACGATCCAACAGTTTCAATCCTAAAAGCACTACGCTGACAAACGAAGCTTTACAGACCCACAGCTCCTCGACTTCAAAGCTTACGGGAAAACAGCGGCGGCATACGGTTTGTACTAGAGGAAACTTTGACACGAAACGACTGACGCCCACCGAGGAAGAGCAAAAGTGTCCCGTTAAGAAACCCCTATCTGATCTCCTTCCTCCAATAAAACTCCCTCCGATTTACCTTCAAGAATCGAAAGGCAAAGAGCAAGGCAAAAAATGTGACAAGAACTTTGTAAACACACATGTGCGGATTGGCGTGAGTAAATCTCTGGATGCTAAACACTCTACAGAAGACCTTCACTATTGCCGTTACTTACGGATAAAAAGAATGGACGACAATGAATCCGTTTGATAACGGACGAAAGAAAAGATACATATGAAATATTCAAGTAACAAAATTACTGATTTAAAATTAACTTTTAACAGTGTTTACAGAGAGAGCGGCCACTAAAAATAAAACCAAATTTTAATCCTGACTAAAACTGTTTTGTTTACCAACTCTACAGCACGTGACGCGCAGAGTTCGTTTATCATGTTAGCGTTAATAGCGGCCTTCTTGAATTCTGTACACTGATTTTTCCATGCCTCCTTTACGGTCTTCAATACATTCAGGGTGGCAACTAATGACGATAAAATTGGGATCACTTCTGGATAAACATCTTGCCTTGAAACCGAACTCGTGCAATGCGGCGAATTAAAGACATTGCGCGAAAAACAGCCCTTAGGGCTAACAAGTCTAACAAGGTTAAATTCCAGCAATTTTAAACCGCGGAAAATAGTCCCTTTCGTTTGATAATTCAGTAATTACACGATACAAGTTTTCACCACCCTGCACACTGAACCCTCAGGAACCAGAACTCATATAGCATCCAGAAACCACAGAACAGCTTTAAGACGAGTTGAACCAAGGTGTGGAGTGGAAGAAAGATAAATGCCAAACGTCTTCGAAATGGTGTACGCTTTGTCAAAATTTTAACAGTTCTGAAAAAATGAGACTCGAAACAAAGATGTGCAAAATGAAAATTGACAACTTTCAATTACATAAGTACATATTTACACGTTGAAAAACTCTGTGTTGTGTAATGATGTTTACTTTGCGAGAATTTATGCAACACTCCTTGAATTGTATACTTTACACATTTACACTTGCTTCTGTGCAAGAAATTTCTGCATGAAATTCTCAGGCGACTGAGCACATGCTCTCCTGGAAAAGATGCTACGCTTCAGTTCTTGCTTGGTTGTATAACAATGCTACCCTTAACAAGAAACCTTTTGTACTTTGTTCAGCTTTTTATCTGATCTTCATGAAAGAGGAGTAAATTCATCCCCTAACAGTCACAGAATGGACAGATCTGTTGCATGGGTTGGTAAACATGGTGTGGGCGGGGTTTAGCTGACAAACAACAGAAGCCCAAGGCGATACCGCTCATACGTTGCGCCAAATCATGTTTGAAGCCAACGGGACATATTTAGACCAATTTATATACCTCTAGAGATGTTTTGTGTTACGTTACCTCGTGGCTGACCAATTAATCAGAAATTAAAATCGCTAGAGAATTTCACGTCAGTGTTTGTAACTGCAAGCTGGACTATTGACATTCTGAGTAAATTTATGATAAGTTTTTTACACAGGCATGAATAACTGGGCGCAACCAAAAGTTAAAAACTCATCTTCATCGCTAAAAATAGGTGAATAGTATTCGTAACAGCTACCCACAAATGCGCATCGCAAGTATCGTTTACACCACAGTTGACAGTTAAACGCGCGTAATTACGCCAGTTGTTGGTGTTCACACTAGAAGAGTGTAATGCGCTACATGGGCCCAGACACTTCATAACTTTCAGCCTCGTCTCTAAAGTGATCCACTAGGTTGTTGATTTCCGCGACTCTGTTGCGATTTCTTACTACCTCGTCATTGTGGATCTTTTCGTTGAGTGACTGCATTCTGGTGGTGGCGCGGGTCAATACATCGTCCTCCTACAATCACCATAACATCATCAGTTATTGACGCGTCATAACCGCAGGGCCTCTGCCCCCGGGGGTTCTGTGGGAAACTCTATTTTAAGGGTGTTTAAAATACAATCTTACGGAGTTTGGTGTCATTGAGAATGTTTAGAACGAAATAAAACGTTTTTAACACACGTCTTACGAGACTATTTTATGTGCGTACCCACTTAAAGGCTACTGAGACGTTTCAATATATACACTTCACTTCATCGCACCCAAAAAAGAAAGGTTTAAAAAAAGGTTTTATCAAAGGAGAGGCTCTAAGACTCCTCAGAACAAACTCTCCTAAGGAAATATTTAAAGAGAAAATCAAAACCTTCTGATCACACCTTAGTGAGAGAGGTTACCCAGAGAATCTTAAGAAGAGAAGAAACCAGAAATTCAACCAAAACAGAGAAAAAACAAACGAATCTTGCCTTTTGTCACACAGTATCAACCATCGTTGCCAAACCTTAAACAAATCTTTACGCAAAAATGGCATTTGATAGAACAACACTACTGAGCGAAATCTACAAAGATCCGCCCCTCTTTTCATACAAAAGAGGGCGTTCGCTCAAAGATACACTTGTGAGAGCCAAACTATGAAAAAGTTTAAAATACGCGCTTGGGATTCGTGCAGGCCTGTAAACTCCATTCTAATAGAACGTGCGCGCCCTTGTGTTCACTTTGTTTGAGATGAAATTTGCACGCAAGTAGGCGCGCAAGTTAACGCAAGTTGACCGCACTTCATTCGTTCGATTGATATTGTAAGTTGAGTGCACTGATTGCCTGCGAACAGGCTCCCGGCGACGGCAGAAAAAAATTTGGGCGAGCGCGAAACAGAAGAATTCGGAGAACAAAGCGAACTTCGTTCGGGCTCACCAGGAGCCTGTTCGCAGGCTAGTGCACTGAGGAACTTGTGACTTGTTAGTCCGTTTGGCCACCCAACGCAAGTCTGTACTCATGTTAAACTTGTAAATACTTGTGACTGCTAGCGCCCGTGTCTGGCCAGGCATTTAGACTAAACCACTAAGCTGAATATATGAATTCCAACTCCCTACGCGTTTTATATGATATAAAACGCGTTTATGAACAGACGTTTTATTAAACTTGTGTGGATTTTATATTGTAATGATCTTACTTTTATTCATGATATTCATGATTTCGATTGTACAGACTCAATAGACTTCAATAAAAACTTCATTTATACTGACAGGCTTTATCGCCATTAAATTCGTACCTTGTTGTCAATCTTCAGAAGATGAGTGTCGTGAGAGGCACTGACTGCATTCATTATGGTGTCCTTATCAACAAATAGCTATAAAAAAGAAAACAGAAAACATAAACATTTTTTACTAAAGCATTGCCCATTTAAAATGACTTGGACGCGCTAGATTAGAGTCCAAAGGAGAACTAATTGTGAAGGGGCCTCCATGTTCTGTACTGAATGTTTCATATCTTGAGCTGTCCAATTTCTCCAATTACCAGAACAACTGAATAATAACAATTTCTAAAGACTGCCAATTTTTTGACAGTTAGAATAACTGCTAAATCAAATTACGGCACGGTACCGTTCAATTTGGTCATTGCAATTTGCAAAGAATTGCGTGATTATGGTTTGGGCAATAACTGGAGTTTCTAATTAGCAGCATAATGAACAAGAACTAAACTGATTAGCTTGATTGATGAAAAATAATCAGGTAAATTGTACATAGAAACAGTGGAACAATTTCCGATTCCAAATTCGAAGAGCACCTCATAGAGCGGCCTTGTCTAGCTAATGTCAGTGTGAACGGAATTTTCATTACCGACGGACAAAAAAAAAAAAAAGAATTCAAACAAAAGGGAGAGGAAAATAACGGAAATGTAACGGAGGCACACTTGCGGGTTCTCCGAAAGAGTTTAGGTAAAAAAAAAGTATGATGCCACAAGGAAACGTCCCCCGGGGGAACTCCCACATTGAAGGGACGGGGGTACCTTTTGTTTTGGTACCTCTTAAGTTGTTCAGCCTCGAAAGGTCCCCGGGGGGAACTTTGGTGGCACCATTTAGGGTATTGAGCCGAAAAAAAAGATATGACAGGAGATAATGTGCCGCTTTAGAAAAGTACCTCTTAGGGGTGAAAGTAATTTCAAGCCACGCTCACAAAACAGGATCTTGGTATCTCTTAAAGGTTCTTTTCAAAATTTCCAACTAGCACCCCCGTCCTTTTTGTATGGGAGTCCCCCCCGGGGGGAACGTCCTCTTGCTTAGCAGCTTCTCTCGCAAAAGCTTTGCAATTTTCATCCAGTCAGTTACAGGGCTAGGATCTACTTTGACAACACAGGATTCACGTCGGAATAGCTGCTTGTTTTATGGACGAACTAAAGCTAACCTACCATTCTCAAGTCATCTGGAAGATCTTCTTCCAGTTCGTTCTTCATAAGCTTTTCGAGCGTGACAACAGCAATGTCTGACACTTTTTCGTAATGCGCGTTTTCCAGGTCACGCAACTGCGTCATTGTGAACAACGTTAAGAATATATCTCGTCATTGTGAAGAGACCAGGACAAACCGCTTCACAAGTAACAAAAATAACACAAAGCTGTAACAATAGATCGCGCAAAGGTTATAAAACATCGTCGTATTTTTGGTGAAGTGAAAGTTGCAAAATGCTGTCATCTTGAGGAGGGGCAGCAGCGCGAGCATTGAAATTTAAAATAACTTCGTGTTCAGACTATTGGCGCGGAGTTTCGCGTCGTCGTTTGGTGCTACGTTGAATTGAGATCAAGAAGGGCGAAATAACCGCGCCAAATTAAGAGAAGGCATTTTCTGGTAAAAATCAAAATGGGATTCAGCAACTGGGTTAAATTTAGGGTCAGGTTGTTTTGACCCGAAACAAGTTTGACTCCATTCAGAAGTTCAAGATGGAGAATGGGTGATAATAACCGGGAAGTTGGCCAGCAGAAAACGAATAGGTTAAAAGGAACGGGAAAATAAGCGGAAAAAATTGAGAGATCAAAAGGATATAATCCTTGCACTTGCTCAACAAATGCGGTCACAAGGTCTGCCATGTTCCGTTCAAAATCTTTATGTGTGTCCTGTATAGAGAAAGAATACACGAGTTTGGCTTATGTATACATGTATCTTTAAAGTGATATAACGTTGTGCTTTAAGCTTGTGTGGGCGTTAATTGAGGGAGAAAAGAGGAAAATGTTTAACAGGCTAAAAATTGATATAGGCAAAAGAAGACCTTTACTGGCTTGTATTTCTATAAGAAAACCTATGGAAAAGTTCATAATTTTAACTTAGAAATACACTTGAGTTAAAGAAAGAAAAAAAGGAAAGAAACAATAACCAAGCACACAAGAAAATCGATCGTTGATATACAACTACATGTATTTCGGTAAAAACCTGGAAGAACATTCATTGTTTGTCCTTCTCTGAGTTTCATCGAGGGATTTTACACCAGAAGAAAGACATTGAATTTGAATCAAATACCTCTAACTGGTCCACTAACTCCATTTCCAATCCCATTAGAGTGTCCCATAGTTTTCTGATTTCTTCTGTTACTTCCTTCATCAAGCTTTCCAGGAGACGTTGGTCTGTCATGCTGGTGTAGTCCACAAATACCTGAACAGGCAACCAGGAGAAATAAGAAACCACTTACTAACTTATAAAGTCACAACGTGTCAGAAATCTTAAAATCACCGTAATTATTATTATCTTGACGTGATTCCACGTTCACTTTAAAAATAACCAAATAGAAAAAATAATTGGTGATGGTAATTTTTAAGGGAGATAGCATTTTCATTACAAGTCCATTAGCAAAACAGTCATAGGCTTTATATATTATGTGCAACAACTGGGGGACCACGGTACTACAATGTAAGAAAGCTACCTGGCTCACCTTTTTCTTGTATTCAATATAGTTGTGGATGTGTTTAACACCAGCATTGTTGTTGTCTTGTGTTGCTTCCTCCAAACAGGAGAAGAATGAAGCAATTTCTGCCTCTCTTTTCTCATGCTCTTTCAAACCAAACTCATATATCTCTTGACAAACAGCTGTAAACTTCTCTTTGTATCTTGGTTATGTTAAGGTGACACTGAATCCACAATGAACATGAAATAATGATACAGTGATAACTTGATAACTTTGGTCTGCTGATCTGTCAGACCTGAGCAGTCATTGCTGATATTTTTTTAACCCTACTCCAAAGCTAATTGTGAAGAAATTTATACCATATCCTTGCCTGGTTTACGATTGCTCAAACTGGACTCCATACTTTTTGGCCAGAAATTTTAGGGTATCAAAATTTTCAAAGACCTCAGACTGTATATAGATTGATGAAAAACACATGCAAGACAGTATCTCTAAGACCATTCTCTATCTCCAAGGGCTAGGGAGAGGTGCTATTACTTTCTCTGTTACTGGGATATTCTGTATCCTTGGGGGATTGGATTACAAAACATCAATATGTGTCTTGAAATACATGTATTATTATTATTATTATTATTATTATTTGTCACAGATAAATTCATAAAAGGAAGAGGCAAATCTCCTATCTGATTATATTCATAACTCTCTCTGTAGGCCTGCTTGTAAGGATACGCTGCAAGAAGTTCTTCCATTCCTGGAAGAGCTGCCAACTTCTCAGCTTCAGGATCATCAGTGTACATGCTATCAAACAGCCATGGTCCATTGAGATCCTCCACATAGGCCAACTAAAAATTTAAAATAAACTTTGTTTACATACTTATCACGCTTAATCTCTCTCCAAGTCTGATCACTGCCATTCCTTGTGCTCCAACCCATTGACGACCCCCCTACCACTTTCCTTCACCCCCTCCTAAATGAACATGCCCCTTGCACCCAGATACAAAATTATTTCATAAGTCAATAACCACTTTGAAATCATAACGTGAAGACTTCAAATGCTGTACATGCACCTCAAACTACATCTAAAACAATAAATCGATACATCAAATCTAAACCTAGTCTGCTTTTCTCTCAAAATTCAGCAGGGACAATAAGGCAAGATACCTTTGGGCTAAAAGAAATTGGGACAAGACATGGGCGTGGCATGTCCACACTCTCCTTTTTGCTGACATCAAAACTCATCCTGGTACTCAGAGAAACGACTGGTTGCCAGCAGCCTAGTCTTAAAGCCCAGGCTTTACAGAGTAAGTCTTAATACGTGATTATAAAAACACAATCATTCAAATATCATTTGAGATGACACCTCCTTTATACTAAATATACATGTACCTTATGCAGCTGCCTCTCCTGCAGTTTCTGCTCCAGTTCTTCTTGTTTTCTCCTCGCTATGGTCTCGTCATGGACCAGCTCCTCTATGGAATACTTGTACCTTTCTGTAGCAGCTTCACGAGCTGACTCATCAATCAAACGGAAGTCCAAGTAAACAAGATCTGGCAGATGTGCGATCACATATTCTTTGTAATTTGCTTCCTCAGAAAAGGGATTTCCACTCAGGTTTAAAGTTCTCAAGGATTTAAATTGTCTGAGATAAACAACCTAGTAAAATGAAAATAGCTTATTTCATTGCATGTCCGTTATCCATAGTGTAGTCTTCTTTGTAGTCCTTGTAAGATTTAGCTAATTGCTTACTTACTATCTTTTGTGTTAGTGAAATGAAACTAAGACGGAACATGTCACAGCCAGACAACTGAATTTGATATTTCTGAAAAATACTTACAGATATTTAAATGAAGTCAATAGAAGAATGGTACCGTTCTAAGAGTTCTGCTAATGGTATCTGGTTGTTTCGCCAACAAGTTGTTTAGCCAATGTCTCGTTCGCCAATGCCTTAGGTCGATTCGCCAACGTCCTAAGTCACTTTGCCAATGTCCTACTGGTCAATTCACCAATGTCTAAATAAAAGTTTACCTTCACTTGTGTATGTTGTCATTTATTTCATTCCCTCACCTGGAATTATTTCCTATGCGTGCGTGCAAGAACAACTCATTATTTATGACGGTAGTTCTCTTGCAATTGCCAAGCAGGGGGTCAAAGCGGTTTGCCATTGTGTTTATTAATCAAGTTGCTTGATAGGGAGGCAAAACTTACAGCTGTGACAATCAGGCTTGTATCAGACAATAAACTTAAATGAATTCAAAGTAGTGTCACTAGGAATATCCAGGCTAAGCTATTTGCAAGCTGGGAAAAGTATGAGAACAACGAAAAGACTGCCGCCCAACTACTCAAGACTTGTTCTCGGCTCAGTAACGGACCAGCCAGTGCGAACTAGAACTTCTCTGTAAATAGGATAAATTGGTTTCAGATAAATAGAGGTTTCAATCAGGTTTTGTAAATAGGTTTCATAGGTTTTTTGCGCTTGTAAATATTTGATACTACATGTATATATTGTAATAAAATTACTGTAACGTTGTTATTTACTTGACATTCCATTTTATTTCTAACTCAATTATATGGCTGGAAAATGAAAACAAACTCTGTTTGCTTCTGAGAAAAAGGAAAAGATATAATGTTAATTTACATCGTAATGCATTATCAGTGAATTAGAACGGTATTTGCAAAACTTTTGGAAGCCATCAGACTTTGGTATTCAACAGTCAATTTTCACCGTGAAAATTACTGTGATGTAGTGCTCATGAGCCGACTAGTGAAACTATCAAAAACATGCAAATTGATCTAAAGCGAAACTGGCAGTGACTTAAAATTTCTTGACCCAAGGATCACCCAAGGATCAGGATTGCATTCCAAACATCAATAAGCAGGGTTTTTTTTGTTAGTACTGGATATCTGACGTTGGCGAATTGACCAGTAGGACGTTGGCGAAGCGACTTAGGACGTTGGTGAATCGACCTAAGATGTTGGCGAACAAGTCGTTGGCTAAACAACTCGTTGGCAAAACAACTGCAATTCCTGCTTGGATAAAGCCTCTGACAAGTTGAACTACAAAATATCTCAATTATAAAGCATTCAAGCCAGACATTGGCCTGTTTTACAGTATTACTATACACTGATGTGATGCAGTAATATTCAATAAGGATCTGCCAACTGAAGAAAAGAATGTGTTGGACAGAATCATTCATGCATGAACCAAGCTTGCAAGCAGAACAGCTACAGGAATACAGCTACAGGAATTAATTTAATGTGGGTATGATTCTTTTGTATTTTAAATTTTCTTTATATACACTCAGACATATTGCACAGAGCAAGATGCTGACTACAGTTATAGCAAGATTTGAATCAGGAGAATTCTCTGTGCATACATACACATACTTACATGTATCCTTTACTTAAACACGATAAGATTTAAAGCTCAAAGCTTGTGGGGTCGTGTAAAATTAACATTTACATAATACATGTACTTACATTATCCAGCTGTTTAAGACTATTATTCCCAATAGAAAACACATGAAGCTGAGTGAGAGATTCCATGTGTTCAATCTTTGATATCCTGTTATTGTAGAGTGTGAGATCCTTCAATTTGGTTAGTTTATCAAGTCCCTCAATGACTTCAATATTGTTAAATGAAAGATCTGCAACAAAACAAAGAATTGTGTATCAAATGGTAGTTTAGTTGAAAATATAAGTCTTGTTTTACAAAATAGCGTCTCTGTAACTACATGTATAATATTGTACTCCTGTTGATGACACACATGCAGAGGGGTGACAAATGGAAAAATCTGAGAGTTGCCAAAATGCCAAGACCCCTATTCAAAAATTACCACTTTGAGACTTGTAAATGAATGGTTTTAGATTCCAACATAGAAAGAAACACACAAAAATGAGGCTTTTTAAATCATCCGAAATCAGATCAAAAGTTTCTAAGACCCAAAATTTCCTATGTACTATTTGCTGCCAACTCCCTATGTAGCTGTATAGCCATCCAAGGCATGCAGTTTCTCCTTCAAGCTGTTTAATACTCACATGAAGAAATTCACAACCAAGCAAGAACAACTCAGAGACACTTCTGACAGAAAGGAATTTTTCAGGTTGATTCTCAGATGTCTTCCTTTCCATGGAGTATATACCAAGGAGAGAGTTCAATCAAGCGCCAAAGGCATGAGCTGCCAGCTATAGGAGGGTTGGGGGTATATCCCCAGGAAAGATTTATTTTTAGGGGTTCCGGGAGGTGCTGTTTCCCACGTTTTCCTTGGAACAGTTTTATAAGTAAAACCATGAAGAAACGTCAAGTATTTGGTAACTTATGTTGTTTAGATTTCGACCTTTGGGACTTTTAATACTTGTAGTAGGTTTGCTACTCTGAGGAGACTAGAGATTCTTGAAACATTTATTGAAGATGCATTTCTCCAAGAATATATCTAAATGTATATATATTTGTACTGGAATTCTGGAGGTGCATGTATGCACATGTGTACGTGGATACATGTATATGGTCACCACAGGCCCCTGCCCTGCGAGTTGTTTGATGTGTGCATTCATAATATTAGTGGTATAAGCAATTTCCGAGTTGCTTTCCAAGTTGTTTCAAACTGAGTCCTGGTGCACAACCTTTCACATGGAAATGAGTTTGACTGAACACTGAACATGCAAGAAAAACTCATTTCCAAGGTATCTGTAAGGGAAACACAGAAATGGTTTATTGAGTGTGTGAAGGGGTGAAGAGCTTGTACATAACACTCAGGCCTTGTACAAACACACTTTCTGCCAGAGTTGAACCTTAATTTCTGCATCATTCATATAGGAAAAAACCAATGTCTGTAATATCAAAAAGACATGGCTAAAAACCTACATGTGAATTGATTGTTAGTACAGTATTGACTGATTTCATTGTTTACATTGATTGTCCCGGGTAAAGGTCTTGAACAACCCTGGCAGCGCATATTTTCCATTTCAATTCATAATATTATTATTATTATTTTATTACTGTAAGTTATGTGAAATTTCATACCTAACCACTCCAAGTTAACAAGCATATCCAGGCCCTCTATCCTTTCAATTATGTTGTTGTCCATTTGCAACTTGGTTAGGTTGACTAAGCTCCACAAGTTGTCAATTTTTAGAATATCTTCGCAAAGAAAACACAAAAATATTGGCGTTAAAGCGAATTCCTATTGATAAAGACAAGTTTTCGGACAACAGATTGTTCTAAAGGGCATCTCAAACCTACTTTTGAAGTCGAGTCTCAAAGAAATCACATCTGCAAAATCAATGCCTTCTTGTTTTGCTATCCTTCCAGCTTCTCCTTTGGGTCCTTGTTCCTCCACGGCATTTTTGAGCATCTGCTCATCGATCACAGAGGGTTCTATTGTGTCGTAAAGACGACTCATCTTGCAAAGAAAGGAGAATTAGGCTGACACGCTACATTTGTACAATGAAAGCACGAAAAACTTTCAAAATTCGCACTGTTACTTGTTGTCCTGGACAACGCAAGCCGTTCATAGAAGACTGGTACTGAAAATTAACACTGCTCATGCTCCATACGAAGTCTGCTAGCGTATTGTGGGCTCACGAAAGCAAAAGAATCAAAATTTTCAAGACCGAGGGAAAATTTACAATCGTTTGTAAAGATTATACTTGGTCAAAATGATGGAATACGAGTACGAAATAGACCCCAGGTATGTACTAGAAACTAATAGATGGTTTTGAAATTCAATGAGATCGACGTTTACTTTAAATTGGTTCTGTATTCGTTATAATTCTTCTCGTACTGTCCCGCAGGGGTTTACAAGGTAAACCAGGATCAGTTGTCTTGAAAAAAGACAAACAAAATTTAATCGGAATAAGCATCGGAGGAGGAGCTCCTCTGTGTCCATGCCTTTATGTGGTTCAAGTGTTTGACAACACGCCAGCGTCCCGAGAAGGCGTTCTTCAAGCTGGCGATGAAATTGTTGGAGTAAATGGAAAATCTCTGCGAGGAAAGACGAAAGTCGACGTGGCCAGGGCTATTCAAGCAGTCAAAGTAAGCTATCTTGACGAGCTATATTTTGCAAGAAAGGGATAAATATTAGCAAGCCCTCCGTTAATTGAAAATTACTAATGATGAAATTATTTGCATGTAATATTTTGTAGTTGAGCTTTTCATGAATGAGTGATCTTGATTTTATTATTGTTCATACGTGTCATTAATTATTGATGTCAAACTCTATTATGGGAGATCAATCTCTTGTTAACCTCTGGTATTACACTATGATGGTAAACAACAAATACATCATCCACATTCCAGTTTGTTCAGACTAGCTTCCTGTAAATAGCCCTAGCTGTTCTGTTCATGATAATTTTTAGAATTACATGTACATTGTACTATGGAACCTCTTTAATTGTTGCAATTTAGTTGCATTAGAGATTACATCTGACAGCTTAGGACTAGTTATTTTCTTTCTAGTCCTTACCAGCACAGTTTTAAGACTAATAGCCCCACCAGCACCCTCCCCTACGTCTTGACAGTCTGAACTTCAAACTCAATTTTGAAAATTAATAGGATAACAACAAATTTATACATGTACTGTTTTGAATCAGGATGAAGTGACAATCAACTATGTCAAATTACATGCTGAACCAACAGAAGGAAAAACATTGGACATCAGTGAGTAATTAGAATAAAATTATCTACCATTTGCCATAATTTCCAAATGTGTTGATCTTTCTTACTTGCAATCACAAGTGACAACCATGCCAAATTTGATTTTCATCTAATATTACATGTACAATGTAGAGAATAACTGTTTTTCACTAGCCAAAGAGGCTAATGTAAATACACTGTACAAAACTTACATTGTACCGGGTAAACATTTGTTTTCACAAGTCTGTACACAATAGTTGGCTACTATTACACACAGTAGTCTTGAGTCCTGGTAATACCAGATTAGATTGGAAATTCAGTTGAAAACTGCTGAAATACACACAGCATGGCATGCGTGTGAACACATCCATGCCCTGTTGATAATAATATTATATTTTAATACTGACTAGTGACATATAGTGTTAGATGTGCTTAGTGAGAAACATCAGGCAGGTGTTTCTACCAAGCATAAAGATATTTGTTGTCCCTTGAACACAGTCATGAAGAAAATGAAGCACCGGATTGTAGAGCACATGAGTTCATCCACAGCAGATGCTTTAGGCCTCAGCAGAGCAATTTTATGCAATGGTGAGTTTTATGATTTACATTAATTAATTGTAAAAATTGCCAGTTGTCAAAAACTCTCATTTTGGCAAATGTTTGTTGGATCATTAGGAATGTTTGCACACCTTACAGCACAACAAGCATAAACCATGTTGCCAACTATTGATTTTGGTGATGAAAACTGTAAGCTTGAATTGGTCATTCATCATAGATTGAATTTTGCCATAAATTGGTACTTGCTCTCCTATCTGAGTGCCAATTACTGGTAGATCTGACCCAGTGAAGCACTTATTACATGTGTACACAATCACGTAATGTAAATCGCAGGCTAAATGTTTCTAACCTTCAGTCAGTGGGTTGAAACAACTCTAATCCATAATGTTATTGGACTCTTAAAATGTACAACTTTTTCATCTCTTCAGGGGTCAAACCTTGGTTTCACGATTGTAGAAAGAGTCCTGTAAATTTTTTTCCTTTCAGATGGTCTGGTAAAGAAGCTAGAGGAATTGGAGCAAAATGCCAATATTTACAAGGGTAAGAAGCTACATGTATTTTTTAACCTTGATTTGAAGGCTTTCCCATAAACTGTTTTCACCCTCTTTGTGATAAACTGTTGACATGATGTTGATTTTACTCTCACTGTTTGCGTTTCAGGTCTTCTGGATCATGCAAGACAGTTTCTTCAAAGCTTTTATAACTTAGCACAGACACATAAGGGTATGCCAAACAGTTGTTACTGCATGATTGTATGTTATTTCAATTGACTGTTCTTGACTGTAGCATTGCATTCTGTCAATACAACTCGGCTGCAGTAATAAAGTTGTCTGAGCTTTTATTACAGTGCTATACACAGTACCATTAATTGTCACTTGACTCAGCTTTTGATTAATTTTTAATAACTCTTTAGCTTTCTTTTTGGTAGCATTCTTTTGGATGGCTGCTATTTGAAATGCCCAAACAAAATGTAGAACTATTGTATCTGAGACAAATTCCATATTTGCCTCCAACATTTGTAAATTCTCCATCCTTAACATCATCAGAAAGTTGTTAAAAAGATGTTAAATAGAAAAGATATCATAAATTAACCAGCAACGTTGTTAAGTGGCAACTTAGCATGGTACTCAGTAATGTAGAATAATTTTGATTAATTATAATCAAGTGTAAATATCAGGCTAATTTTTCATTAATGTTATTCCCTTTTATAGAACTTGGAGAGATATTTGCTTCCATTGGCGTGCGAGAATTACAACCAAATGCGAGTGAGGCATTTGCAATTTTTAGTGAGGCTCACAGGTATGCTAACCAACAGATTTATGGCTGAAATAATTACATACTTGACTGTACATGTATGTCTCTGAGAAGTTCCCAGATTAGTGAATTGAAAAGCAAAGAATTCCTTTTATTAACCTATCACGTGAAAAAGCCTCTTATTGTGTTCATTTACCTTGCTGTATGAAATATCTACTTTGTATTGTACATGTAAGAATGCTGTTACAGTGTAATGAAGTAAGTACTTTTAGAGATTTTTGGGAATTCAATTTTGCTTGCCCTCCACTTACAATAATTATTTTGAAACTTGTTTTGCTCAGGAACTTTGAGAAGCTTGGACTAGATTACTTGAAGAAAGTCAAGCCCATGCTAAGTGATCTAAACACCTATCTTTCCAAGGTTGGTGTCAAACATTTTATCAATGTGACTGTGTAATGACCATTGTGTAACCGTTCCAGTGAAAATATTCGCTGAGCTATGATTTCTCAGTTTTCTCTTTGTAGACTGAGGAATATTATTTGCCCTTTAATGCTTTTGGCCAGTCATCTCTTGATTTCCTTATTTCACATTACTGTTCCCAAGTTGTAATTTGCCAACCAGAATCCTTGTCTGTTGTTGTGAAATTTCCAGATTTTGGCTGATGTAGGTATGGTAAATACCCTTGTACCTTTTTGGAATGGTAAATAGCAGGCTTGTTTGGCATGATCATAGATATTTCAGCTGGACTGTCTTTTGCCAAAATGATAATAATTTTGAATAAATACAAACCATGGCTCAACCAAACTCACCTGATATGCTGCCAAATTGTTCCAAAAAGATGATTGAATATAAGAATCACATTTGCAAAACTGACCTCTTATAATAGTAATTATAAGAAGAAGGTTCTTATGGTGCATTTAGAATTCTCAATGCGCTTACAATTGCATATGATTAAAAGGAATAAAAACCTAACTAAAAGATGCAATTATTAAAATCTATGACTAGGTTAAAAACTCTTAACATTGTTTGAATGCTTTTGTTTTCCAGGCAATCCCAGACACCAAACTAACCATCAAGAAGTATGCTGATGCAAAATTTGAGTATCTGGTCAGTTTACCAAACAACAAGCTATTGTTTTAAAATATTACATATTTTGGTAAATTGGTAAATTATGAAAATAATATTTGAATTTGAAAAACAATAAAGTCAAGGTTGTTCATTGTTAATAAAATAATATTTTTGATAGGTAATTTAAATGTTTGGTTTTCTTGATGTAAAGAAGTTATAAATTATGTCTGTAACCATATCATGAGAAGTCAGTACCACGATTACTTTGTAATCATCATTAAGTTAATGCCAAACATTGTCAGTCTTGAGAAACATACTCTAACTGTGTTGTACATGTATTGTGTTACAGCTGTAGTTGTACCATTCAGTAGTTACACTACTGTGAAAGATCAATCTGTCATAACAGTTATGTGTACTTTTGTTGTAGTCTTACTGCCTGAAAGTCAAGGAGATGGATGACGAAGAGTATGCCTATGCAGTAAGTTCTGAAGACTGGTTTGTGATGTTTTACATAATTTGTAGTATGTACCTTGTCGTTGTATCAGACTCAGTATATGATGGACAAGCATTCCACCCACAGGATGTGAACAACTTCAAAATTGCACAACTTTACATATACATGTAGACGCTAACTGTCTTGTTTTGATTGCACAGCCTCACCTTTGACTTCAGTTCTTGATTCCTCAGTTGTTCTCATGTAATGTTGATGATAATTTTTTATTTAAACCTCAATTAATGGCCTGTCAGTTTCAGCATTTAGCTCCAGAGTTCATTCATGTAGCATGAAGCAGCTAGGTGTATTGTCTTCTTCCTTGATCTTAATGCTAGCTGTCTACAAGCATTTCATAGTCCAACATTTTGTCAGTTTGCCCCATCAATTTTGTAGGCATCCAGTAAACCTCTAGACCAATGCAAATTTACTATAATTCCATGAGGCCTTCCCACAGTAGAGCAGTTTTCACTTGAGCGTTGGCATTTGCCCTGTTCTTGCATTAAGTACTATCAGTGTGCTATCAATTTGCGTAAAAAGTTTCACCACTTTGTCATCCAATCAGAAGTAAAACCAAAACCAATCAAGGCTCACTTGCACACACTTTCCTGCTCTTTGTATAAGTTACATGTATTTGCTTGGAGTTTTGATTGGTTCATTGGATTGTCTGTGTCCTTTGTGATTGGCCAGACGGATTATTTTGATTTTGGTTTTATGACACCCGAATGAAAACCTTTGTAATCATTGTAGTATTAAATTTTATACTGATAACGCAGCATGCGATATTTTCTCTAGGCATTACATGAATCACTTTACAGAGTGGAGACTGGAAACTATGATTACAGGTACGTAAATGTGAAGTGGTAGGAATATTTTTGCTTTTGACAGTTGTCCATCCATTCTTATCTATCAAACTCAGAAAACACGTGAACACCAGAAATATTTATGGAAGGTTATTGTGAAGCAAGATAAAACCCAATTTATTAGGCATGAGAAAACTAAACTGCAAACAGCGACGTTAATTAGTTTGTAGTTTTGAGGTTAGCTTGCATGTCCTGAACTTTACTATGATTGGTCAGGACAAAATTGACCTGTCAGAATCAAGTCAAAGTGTTCACGGATTTCTGCATTTCACACAGGGTTCGCACAGGTCCTAGAAAACGTAGAAAGTCCTGGAATTTTATTGTAGCATTTTCCAGGACTGGAAAGTTCTGGAAAAAGGCTACTGGTCCTGGAAAGTTTTGAAAATCTGTTTAACTCAAGTAAAAAATATGAAATGTATGGCAGACAGTAAGGAGAATTAACATTGAGATTTAGAGAGGGAAAAGTTTAATAAGAATTTTAGAGTCCTGGAAAAATCAATCTGAGTCCTGGAAAAGTCCTGGAAATTTGTTTCTGAAAAAAGGTACGAACCCTGTTAACAGTAAGACATGTATGCAACCCCTAGTTGCTTATGTTCAATCTGATTTCCTTGTAGTGACTTGTGAGAAATTAGTTGTTCATCACTTGTGGGAATGAGAGGTTTAACTCCTGTTCTTTTTTATTTAATATGTAATTTTGTAGGGTGGTTTTGCGTTGTCGTCAGTTAGCAAGAGAAAGATTTGCAAAGCTACGATCAGATGTTCTTGTGAAGCTTGAGCTTCTCGACCAAAAACATGGTGAGTTTTAATGCAGTTGATTTGTTGCAGTATGCATTCACTGCCATTTGAATCCACCTAAACCTACATGGTGTGCATGGTAGGGTTGTTCATACAATGACAATTTAGTGGCGGAGCTGAATCTACGAGCGTCCCCTTGCAGTTAGGACATTTGTTGATTTGGCTCCTCTGCCGAATACTACCCTCACGCGAACAATTCTGCTAATTCTTGGTGGTACAAAGCAGACTTAAATAATCTCTTGTTACTAATTCACTGTTCTTCATTGATTGTAATATTTCTCTTTATTATCCGTCATTTCCACAGTGCAAGACATCGTTTTTCAACTTCAGCGGTTTGTCGCAGCTGTAACAGAGTACCACGAGAACTGTTACTCTGTGCTAAAGGAGGCCAATGTATTCCCCATTGAGGTCGATTTAACCAGAGGAGCACTCGGAAACACGCTGAAATAAATTGGATTTCTTTGGACTCGATGACAAGGAAAAAATGATACTATCATTCCCAAAATGACAACCAACCAAAAATGGATTGCAGTGGAATTAAGGAGTTGGTGAAAACTGGTGTAGCAATAAATTTATGTGGTTGCGTGTCATTTGAGGGATCTATTGGCGGCCCAGGTTACTCTGAGTGCTGCCACGTTCTTATTCTATGTCGCCATTGCTAAGTTTAGCAACTTTTGAGAAGCCGATAAGAATATCTCGGCCTGACTGCTAGTTGGAGTTTCCACTCGGTTTTAGTTTATGCTATTTTAGGCAAATTTTGTAGGCCTTGTTATGCTCATTTTAGAGAGTCAAGGTTTTCAACCGATTAGAACTTCCAGTTCTGACAGAAAAAAAGGGTTGGAGAAGTTTTATGACCCGTCTTTCTGAAAAAGGCGCAAAAGTTAGCGTCGTCCGTTTTCTTAAGTTAATAGTTGCCATAATTAACTATTTGAGTGAAGTCTCAAATTTTTCATTCTTTTCAAATCTTCAGACAAATATGGTTATTTTAAGACCAAATAACTGTGCTTAATTGCATTCTGTACTTGCAGTTTCTTTGGTTTAAATTGTCGACAATTTGTACCTTATCCAGTTTTATTGGAATTTCGTTTTTGACAAAGGTCTCATGTGGTGAGGATGGGTGGAAATAAACGCCAACACGACGACGATGATGACAACAACAGTTGTCATAACAGTTATGGAAAGAAATAGTGCGTGATTGCTTAAAGGAGCTATGTCACAGTTTGCACATCTTGAAAAGTTTAGCCTACATTTTTCAAGTCTGTCGTTTGTAATCCGTGTCAATCTTCTCCATCCTTGACCATCCTTGTGTCTTTATGGTTTATTATTATCTCTTTGGTGTTTTTTTTTTTTTCTATCTTAATAAACTACTATTTTCAAGTTTCCTTGGATTTAAAGTCAATTTTGTTCGTGGCCAAAATAACTCAAAATACCGTGACTGAGTTCCTTTGACTTGGTGGAAAAGGAGAAATATGTTTATCAATGTCATTGACTGATTAACATCTTTCTAAAACATAAGAATACACTTTATTTATTACAAAGAAGGTAGTTTCAGGAAAGAAAATAAAATTGTACAAACAGTGGAGATGTTTATAGTATACGGTTCATTAATCAGCTCTTGCTGACCCTTGTACGCTTGTTAAGGTTATTTAGTATAAATGAAAGGGTGCTGCAAGAGAGAAGAAATAAACATTTGTGCAATACACAACTACGGTGAAAACACAACTGTAGTAACACTTTAAAATGCACTAAATAATGATCAAAGTAATGTATGTGTTTATCTCATGGTTATATAAACAAATAAATATTAAAAATATTGCACATTGTCAAAGCCTTGTTTCTTGTTTCCGTGCGTGGACGTAATTTTCCCAGGCTGCTAAGGGTCATGTAGACGAGTGTTCAGCTGTGCCTCGTCCCATTCCCCTTGAGGCTAAAGCGTTTCGAGCCCCCGAGGGTACTCCTTATGATGACCTATACGGGGAGGCTCCGCCCGAAAGGGGTACCTTTTACGGGCTTCAGGTATATTTAACAATTATTCCACGAACGCGCATTGGAAATGGGATGGTAGATAGCCAACGAGGCGCGTAGCGCTGAGATGGCTATAACCGTCTCATATCCAACAAGCGCGAGTGGAATAATTGTTTTATTAAAAACGTCCCCAAAATTATAGAAAACTAGACTAAAAAATAGAAATGCCCCAAAAAATCACGCGCACGCTTACCATATTTGTAGAGCATGGTATAAATGGCTCAGAACTCATGATGGCTAAGCTAATGAAAACTGAAAGTGAAGAATGATCATCGCAATAAATTTTCCAATTTAAGCAATTGGAAAGAAGCCTGAAAAAAATTCAGGGCTTCAACGGGATTCGAACCCGTGACCTCCGCGATACCGGTGCGATGTTCTACCAACTGAACTATGAAGCTACACGTTGGGTGCGAGGTCAATTAATTGAGTTCATATCTTCCCGCGAGGAGTGAATTCTTCACTTTCATCTACAACCGCAGTTCAAATATGAATTATTTCATATATACTTCACATCACTAATGAAAACTCTCGAATTGCATCATCCATTATTTAATAAAAAAAAAGGACAGGGTTTTCACAAGTAGAGGTATATAAAAGGTTTGGGATTTCACAAGCTGAGGTGTATGAAAGGGTAGGGGACTCCGTGAACATGAACTGTGAACATGAACTGAATATAAAATACTCGTTTTTCTGTGTAACATCTCTTCTGCTTATGTTTGATGTTTTCTGGTAATAGAGTAATTTTACTGAACCAGTGAAACAGAAACTACATGTTAATTTGTGCGTAATATTGTGTGCTAATTATTATCAGTGCGTGGTTTACAAAAACAAAGACTAGAATCAAAAGAATTACTAGCTGTAGGAGGGTAGTAGGAACTAATAAGAAGTTGTGGCGTGTACAATTTAGCCTGCGAGCATGCTCACCTTTGCGGGAGCGGCGAGGAACAAAGCAATCCGGCGGGAAGGAGTCTGGTGAAGAGGCCCCAAGAAAGTTTCCACTATCTATTTCACGGGTTAAGTAAAACGACTCTATTGTTCATATACTTCATTCCAAGGCTTTAGAAAAGGGGCGTAGTGTTCGTAAAAAAGGTATGTGAAACGGGTACCTTTATGATAAAAGGCATTTGAAAGGGCTACCTTTCCTGACCAAATGGTATACGAAAGGGTAAGGGTTTGGACCTTGGGGCGGAGCCTCCTGAATAAAACTATGTAGAGTTTGCCCCAGGGGTTTTGCCTCAAAACCCCTGATAAATTTCGAGCGAAACATGGACTGCCAGCAGTCTACTCTTGTTAATCCGTTGTCGTTTGTAATTAAGGAGCCGATCACGTGTTATTGGCTGCTGAACTAATTTTGTTTACGACATGAGCGTCGAAGGGACTATTCATGATCAGGCTCCGTTTAATAATCCCCTCAGTTACATAATGGAGTCCCTCGTCGTAAGCTTATTGTCACAATTAAAACATATCTTGAGCCTGGCTGACCAACGCGCCCATGCCTCAACCTTTGAGTGTGCTGGGTTGTGTAGTGAAGGCAAAATATTGTATGGTAGACGGCTAACTGGTCACCAACAAGCTAGAGATATCGAGACCCTGAGACTTAATCTTTAATCTTCTAGACTTCTACTTCTTCCGCCATTTCTACTTTCTCTGCTGCTTCTACTCAATACAACTGAACAATGCTCCCGCCTTTATTCTTACTCTAGGTACATCCGGGACTCAAGCCAAAGGTAAAGTCAGATGGTACAAAACAAAGTACTCGGTTGTAAATCCTAAACGAACAAAGCTGACTTGATAAGGCAAGCAGAAATTAACGAATTGAAAACAAGCAAAACAGAATAATCTTTATCATTAGCTAACCTTGGATCTAGCTAGGGGAGGTGGAGGTAGAAGCCAAGGTCGCAAGAACGACATAAACATGTACACAGGTGAATGCCCGAACATGAAGTTCTAGAATGAAATTGTTCTAACGAAAACGGAAGAGGCGTTCAAGAACTGAGTGTTCCACATACGTGGCTTGCTAAAACTAAGCTTTCTTAAAAACATAGCTCCACAAACAATGTACTCAATTCGGCCGGGATGTCTTTTGTGCCGGCAATCAGAGAGCCAGCATTCCACACGGCACAGTGTGTCTCCAAGGCCCTGTTTCATTATTGAAACAAAGTGCGTTCAAGTGCAGATAAAGGACGCCAAATTAAAGGTACAGATTCGCAGACATACTTTTCATGCATGAACGAACATGAAATACAGGCAACCTTAACATTCTTTCTTTTTTAAAGGAAGACCATTTTAAAAGAATATCGAGGCTGAATAAACCGGCCGGGACTGAGATTTTGTAAAGAATATAATTTTGTGCTGTACTTTGTACCAACCAAACCGTATAGAATTATTCCTTTCTCTAAACGGCAAAACTTGTCAAAAAGCAACAAATTCAGCACTAGTTGTACATTTGTGTTAATCACATTTATGTTGAGTTGTGCGTGACATGATCAGGCTTAATTTATACCTGCAGGCTGGCTCCAAAATTACTTTACCACCAGTTAGACGCCAAAGACATTCGAAAACAGAAATGCCATATGCTATAATCTAAGAATATTTACCAGAATGTTTTCAGCCTAAAATCCTCAGAAACGATGAGAAAACAATATTCTGTCAACATTAAAAAGGTTGAAGAATTAACGCATGAGCTGAACTTCACTTGGGCATATTGGCTTTTGCTAATGCCCTGCGTGGAAAGTTTCCGTTTACCAAACGGACAATACTGTATACAAAAGCTAATCAGCTAATACTAATGATGTATCACCGATCTGTTTCAACCAGAGAATCAATTTGAATTCAAATGACTTAACCGAAAAAAAAAAAAACACAAAACAAAAGAAATTTGCTTTAATTTGATGACAATAACTTTTTCTAATTAACCATACGCCACGCGTCCTCTTCTTTGCACTCAACTTTTCACCCACGCCCTAATTGCACCGCATATAGAAGTCGGACAATGCCCCTTTGTCGGTTGTTTCAATCACCATTCCAAGCAGCACAGTCAGATATCCATGCCATCTATTTACAATTGTTTATTTTTTAAATAGTGTATTTAAAAAAAAAAAGACAGCCGAAGTGATTTAAATGTCATTTCACTTGAAGAGGCTTTAGCCACAAGAACTTTCAACGCAAGTCAAGCACTTGAGGTAAGTCAGTGAGTTATTCACCATACAAAAATGCACATACTACTGCACTCTACTGCTTTGGAGAATTTCCGAGACAAAACTTTACTCGTGCTAAACATATGTTTGAATGTCAAACCGCAAACCGGTTCATTGCAGTCCATTACCTTACGTTGAAGAAAGTTTCATTGAAATGTTGACAAAAAAAGTTCACTATATTTAGGTGTGACAAACACTGAACGTATCAAAGGTGCAATTGACTTACATTTGTTTTCTTTCCTGGAAAATAAAAAGGTTTAGTAGAACTATTTAAAAACTGCATAAACAAGTGAAAGCCCAAACACGTTAAACACAATGTATATTCTTCGTTCCGCGTTAAGGTATCTTGATACAGTTTTTTTTTTTTTTCTGGACCGTACCATGTATTTTCGATCAAGTTTTCAAATTTTCTCTTTAGTCGTGATCGCATCGAAATGAAAATTACAGCAGTAACTAGAAATGGATTGAAGTTTGGTATAATGTGTTTCTTAAGGCAATAGAAAAGTACACGATGTCACTATCTGAGATCTGGACGGTTTGAAAATTGACATCGATTTGTGACAAAATGTTTCTAGTAAAGATGCTAGATTTCAGGTTTGCCCTTGACCGGTAATAGTATACCGATCGGCTGCCTACTTTTTCCGTCTATGCCGATGGTCCAATCGACAAATAGTTTCTGCGCAGCTCTCAAGTGTTAATATATGCAGTTTATAAATGGTGTACCAATCGACTGACTACTTTTCCATTTGTATTGATTTGTACCAATGGAGCCAATAGCACCAATCGGCAAATCATTTTCACACGCTCTCAAGTGTTAATGAGACGCAGTTTACAAATGATACACCAATCGACTGAGTAGCTCATCATTCGTGCCAGTAGCACGTATCGTAAGGCTTCTTACAAATGCATCTTTTTGACTGTGGTTGTTGGACATTACAACGCAACGCATTCTAATGAGACTTCACATATTTACTTATTTATATTTCCCCTACAAAAGGTGCTAATTATCAGCATCTTAGGGCATATGCGTATGTCGGCTTATGCTTATGCTTATTCGTAAGAGAAAACCAGCCTTTATGTGGCCTTTATCTTGCCAAAAAAGATTGTCGCACTGATTTGAAGTCAGACCTGATACTTGACGAAAATAAACAGAATTCCCTCAAATATCGTATCCTTGCAAAGAAGAGGGTTGAAATGTCTTCCTAAGCAACCGCGTACCATATATGTATGTGTCTTTGTGCACGTTCTGTATTTAGGCACTGCTATCGATTATGTAACTACCCCAGGAATCATAAAGACGCAGCTGCTCGTTTTCAATTAGCCCGCAAATGTGGCGGGTTTAAAACACAGGTCGCGGGTCATTGTTTTACTAATACTGGCATAACCTTAAACCTTTACTAATACTAACCGTAAAGCCTAAAAATTGTCTTAGTGTAGTATTTAGGCCTAAAACGTTGTCTTGGAGTAGCGTATAGGCCTAAGGTTAGCATTAGGAAGGGGTTAGGGTTGTTCCAGCATTGGTAAAACAATGACCCGTGACCTGTATTTTAGATCCGTCGGCGAACAGGCTTCCGGCGAGGACGAAAAAGAATTTGGCGAACAAAGGGAGACGACGAGCGCGAAAAAAATGAACCGGAAATCGAGGCGAGCGGGTCAGGTCGGGGAAGCCTCTCGATCCCGCGACGTGCCGCTTGCCGAATTTTGTTTTTCGCCCACGTCGGCTCGCCAATGTTTTTTATCTCCTCGCCCGGAGCCTGTTCGTATCTAGTTTTCACTGTACTCACATAAATTGTCCCCTCACTGTAAAACATCTATGATGGGCATTTAACGTTCTTCTCTTACAGATAAACCGTCGCAGATCATGGCTCGCTGGGTTATCACATGCCTGTTCTTTGTTGGATTGGTGTCAGTCACACTGGCTTCCAAAGTGACGTCACCAAGCAAGGAGGAGAGCGAATCAAAAGTCAAGCGTTTGTGGTTTAACTTTAATCATAACAACAACAATAACAATAACAATAACAACAATAACAACAATAACAATAATAATAACAACAACAATAATAACAATAACAACAATAACAACAACAATAACAACAACAACAATAATAACAACAATAACAATAACAATAACAACAACAATAATAACAACAACAATAATAATAACAACAACGGATGGCTGAATGTCATAGATGGGTCCTTTCTTCAATTCGCTTGCCCAGGAGGTAATGAGATATATAATTTAAAAGTATTTACATGGTGTTGCGTGAAACATTGTAGGCTACGAATGCTCAGTTCCTTCGTGAGGTACACCTGAAGGGGCTCATGCATGGTAGTTACATTCGAACGCGGCCCTGAAAAGATAGGTCTTCACAGCCATCTTGAAAGATGAACAGAGCATTCAACAGAGCAAGTCATGACTTGGTAAATTTGAGCTGAACAAAGTGATTCCCTGTTAGGACGTCTCAAAGAAGAAGCTGGGCATGATCCATTTTTGTCAACGATCTCAGCACGAGAAAGTATCCTTTTAGCCACTTGTTAAGTCGATCCTCTTTCTCATTCACTCGAAGGAGTGGTTAACCATCAAAATGTAAATAAATTCTTCTTTTAAAGGAGCTCGTTCAGTTCTTTTGCCCACGTGCAAAATAATAAATTGATCGAAGGAAACCTGAAAATAGTAGTTTACTAAGCCAGAAAAACACCAAAGAGAAAAAAATAAACCATAAAGAAACAAGGACGGTCAAAGATGGAAAAGATTAATACGGATTACAAACGATGAACTTAAGAAAAAATAATTAGGCTAAACTTTTCGATATGCGCGAACCGTGACGTAGCTCCTTTAAAGTAAATAAACGTGATGATGACGACGACAAGGACGAAGATGGTGAAATACCAAGAAGGAACGTTTTATTGTTATTTACATAACAGGCGAAGCGTTTGCCAATTTATTCTATGGAAATCTAAAAAAGAATTGTTGTTGCTTTGTTTCATGGTTTTAAATTCTGATTGTTTTCTTAAAAATTTTTTGCAGGAAATTCTGTTATCACAATTTCTGCCTCATATGATCGAGTAAGCGGAAGAAATATCTGGAAGGTTCAATGCGCTAAAAAAGCCGGCAAGATCTGTCGCAGGTATCAATAACATTCATTTGTAGCCCTTTTCTATTTAACAATTAGACTAGGTCGAGGGCGTAGCCCGAGTCAACTATTACTTTAACTAAGGATGCGTTACTTTGGGGTGATCTGGAACAGGATTAGTGATCCACTAGAAGATCTGTCTGGATCATGGTGCATCAAAGAAACCAATGAATCCATGACCAGAGTAGATTCATCGGTTCCTCTGATGCACCATGATCCAGGCAGATCTTGGATCACTCAGGATCCTGATCCAGATCACCCCAAAGGAACGCACGTTAAGTGTTTTTAACTAAACTGTATAAAATTCTTCCTTTATCTAAACGCCAAAACTAGCCACGAACAACATAAACTGCACTAGCCTCATATTCTCAATGAGGAACTTGGTACGAGATTTGAAAATATCTTCAATCAGCCGATGATCACTTTAACATCCTATTGACGCCTTGTACTTGCTTCCCCCGTGTTCCTCTCGTGTCATACAGATCATTCGGCACTGCTTTCTTCTCGGTTTCAGGCCTCGTCGCTGGAATGTCAAATCTTGCAAGAAGAGATGTGGGAAGAAAAACTGAACGATTAACTAAAAGCGCTCTTGAGCTATACAGCTATGTAGAGCCAACTGAGCACAAGATCAGTTTAAAATGGGAATTAATATTTTCACATACGGTTGGTTTACGACGGGACCTTCAGTGATTTTAGATATTGACTCGTTATAGGGAATAGTAAGAATCACAAACCAGTTTTGGTTCCTCGGTGAGGGAGAATCGTTTAGCTGCATTACAGGTATCAATTAAAGACAAAGAACTCAAAGAGTCAGTTGTATCATTTTCCTGGCAGTACTATAGAGTGTTTTCACATGACGTCACGGCAGCCATATTGGTGTCTCAAAACAATGAAATGGCGGCCATGTTGGTGTCTGTCTGTGGCAGTTAAACTCCTTAGTTAAGGCTGATTTTTTACCTGTGACAGATTCGTAGTTGGAGCCGTAAACAGAAGCGCAGTGATACGATCTAGAGAAAATCCAACCAGGGGTGTCGGAAGTAGAATACTAGGGACCTTACGCAAAACACGACGACAACGGCAACGAGAACGTCACCAAACAAAAGGTTTCATGAGCAGAACAATGGCTGTGCACGTGCGTTATAATTCTTGGTACTTTTCTTTGCCGTCCTCTACAAAACAGCGACGTGAAATGACCAAATTCTGCGTTGTCTGGAGAACGTGAACTACAACGGCTAATTTTTCGTATTTCTATTTGGCATTGAACGCATTCGTAGCATATTCAGCAGGGGCAAGTTTTAATACCGACAGACACTCTGGATAGTTCTAAATAAATGCGAAATTCTAAAGTAAAATAGAAACACATTTTTTTCTAGGCGTCTTCCTCGCCGTCGTCGTCGTATGTGCGCAAGGTCCTTACTGATTCCGCTGATGACCCCGTCGGTTGTGATCTACATTTTCGGAGTCGGAAGCAGAAGCCGAAGAATAAATCAATCACAATGCTCGGGCCTTGAGATTGGTTGGTTCTTCCGTCTCTGCTTCTGACTCTGAAAATCTAGCTCCCAGTGAATCAGAAGCGATGAAGTCGTAAACGGAAACAAAAGAAATAGAAACGTTCTGATTCTTCCGACTCCGATGCCGTCGAGTTTATGACTCCGCTGATGACTCCGATTTTCACCAGGTCATAGATCCACTCTTAACGACTCCGACAAAGATTACGATTCCGTCGCTAGTGCTAACCAGCCTTTAAGCTCAAGCATGTCTCACTTTTATTTTGCGTCGCTGTTTTGGTCTCATACTTGGGGTATGCGCCATGAAGCCAGCGTAGCTAGATATAGGTGTTCCCAGAGTCCCCGTGTCTTGCCGAAACTTTGGGGTGAGAATAGCACGCACGTACTACAGGTTGAGCTCACATTTAATTGTCGTTTGTAATTAATGTTAGTTCTCCCACGCACGCGCGTCCGTATCTGTGCACATATACACGTAATTGCATGTGTGATGCTGTCACATGAAATTCGTTGAGATTTTCCATTGAAATTGTCAGCATTTTTGGGTTATAACCTTTCGCTACAATTCAGTACTTAGTTATTTTGTATTTTAACTACTTTCTTTGTCGGCAAAATTTGACTATACAACTTTGATTAGACGTCTGGCAAGAATCATTAACGTAATTCTATTCGCATTGTATTGCAAGACCTGCAAAGACTAAGGTTAAACTAAATGTACTCTTTCCAACAAAAGCCGAAAGATATATATCTCATACACATTTGCGGTATGCAGCTTTTGGTGTTTGCAAAGTAAACATTTCAGAATCAACATTTGGCAGAGGTATGTAAATTATTCTGTAGGAGTACCGAGCAACTTTGACTCACTGTAGTGTCCCCACACACTGAACTTGCCGAGTCGATCAGCAACTGGTATAGTACATTGTCACCGTTTGCGTCCATCTCTCAAAGGTACGATCACTCACTTCTGACCGTTTTTCAGTAAGTCAGTCCAAGGTAATTAAGTTGTGCAGCCTGGCTGTAGCACAGAGAGTTGCTTCGTTAAGCTGAACTGTTGAAGGAGTGGCGCAATTCACAGGTATAGTTTGTATAATGCGCTAAGACACTTTAATTAGAAGTGTAGCTCTTTGGATTCCGACAAATTTTTTCACATAAATTTTTTTATTCAGCATTACTAGGAATTCAGAGCAAACGTATTGCCGATACACATTCTTCTGTAAATCGAGCGATTAAAATTGACTTTAAGGTAAATGATATGGATGAATAGGGTAGGAATATGTTTACCAAAAAATCATTTATTTTACACAATTTTTTCACTTGCAGACTGTAAGGAAAAGTATTAAACTGCAACGCTTCTTTAACAAATTCAAGCAGCCTTGTTTAGAGACCAAAGTGTCAACTTTAAAGGGAAGAAGATTTAAATGCAATGTAAACAAATTCCAAAGGAGAAAAAGAAGTCAAAAAGAACTCGATAGAACTAGGTATTATTTTGCAGAAAAAATAGCTTTCCTATAATCAGGTGCCTTGTATTCTATTGGTTTATGAAGAAAAGTATTGCGTTACAATTTCAAGTTTTGCTGCTGTCAGTTTAAGATTTAATTCCTAAACTATTTTGTGGGAGTGTTTACTTTTAACATTTTAACTTTGTGCGACGGAGACTCGTGAAGTATTCTCGAAGACACTTTAGCTGTTAATTTCCGGTTGTCTAGAGGTGTTTCATACTTCATTAAACTTCAGCTCCATTTTTACGCCGGAATTTTCCTACAATATAACAAGTAAATGCAACGATTATAATAAGGTATGAACTCTTTTTCCATGCAATTGAAAGTGCCGTGATCCCACATCAGTCGGCCAAAGCTGAAATGATTTCGGATGATAGTTTTAATGCTGCGTACGGTAAAACCTTCTCGGGTCCTTTACGTTTCTTTTATAAACGAGCTAAAATGATACAAGAAGAAAGACATTTTTAACATCGAAGACTGGTAAAAAAAAGCAGCTTCGGAGCATCGGTGGAATGCAAAATATGCAAGCGTTCAAAGTTACTAGGTTGCTATGCGTTTTAATTGATCAGTGCTTGGTTTGTTTGCTGCGGCATGACAGTTCTGGAAATTACTTTACCGTCAGTCCACGCTAATATAACTAATGGAACTTGACATCTGCAAATATCCATTTGATTGTTTTTATAGTATCCAGACGCAATTGCATTAATCATACCGTTCTGTTATAGCTAGTTTATGATTTGGGACATTCTTGGCGACAGAACTCCTCCATAAAATGATCGACGAAGAACCTAGTAGAATTTTTCGAAGTACAGAGGGTTTTCACATGACGTCACAGCAGCCATGGCAGAACAATAAACGGCGGCCATGTTGGTGTCCCAAACCCTGACTCAAGCGGCGTTGAGCGGCGATGCAGCTAGGAGCCTGGTGGGACACTCGCGGCTTCGCCGCTCGTTTTCGCGGATTACGCTCTATACGGTCCTATGTCCCAACCAACTAATAAACCGCCAGCTACGCAGGCCCAAACCAATCCTGAGTAGACCACGGGTAGTCCCTCTTTCGCTTAGTCTGTCGTGCGAGACGCGAAAGAAAACTTTGAGGGAAAAAATGACCGCGCGAAATCACTAGTCTCAATCCAGAGGGAGTTGAAAATTTTTTTTGTAAACACTTTGTTTTGTTCCAATAAATTTACACGGCTGGTAGCTAGACAAGTGAGTGAAAACGCTCTATATCCGTCTAATTGAAATACTGTAAGCTAAGTCAGATCAAAGAGCCAAGAGTGACCTCATCCGTAATGAATGATGCCATCCGTTGGCGCAAGCACTGCCTTATCCACACAGTGCACGAGTTCCGTACTCATTCAGTTTTTCAGAACTTACATAGTTTTGACTAAATTTCAAAAAGCTGCTTTCAAACAGGCTTGACTGTGTACACAGCCACAGGAAACACGAGAATTCAAAGGATCGTCTACAAATGCTTTTTGCTTTCGAGTTTGGTCGAGCCATGGTTAGTATTTTGGCAAAACGTAGATAAGCTAAAATACCTATGGCGAGTCCAAACAAGTCTGATTTCCTGCTGAAACGTACCTAATAGGTGCAATAAGCTATTTACTACCATACATAAATTCGGTCAAACATTCAGAATATCAGTTCGGTGATTCTGATTGGCTAACTGAAAATTTGAGACGATTAAAGGGACATACAGGGTCATACAGAAATATAATAGTGTAAATACCGAATTTATTCGATTAATCTCCCTGGGAGTTCATTAAATTTTTGGACCTTGAAAGTGGGCGCTTATTCGAGGCTGGGCGCTAATTAAATTTTTACCATTTTCAGCACGTGTAGTATGTTCATTTAAATGGTGATAACAAAACGCGAAGATGTAACAAAGCAAGGTTTCTGTAAAATAGACCCTTTTCATAAATGGCTGCAAATTATAAATTCTATTGTAAGTATTAAAATTAGCCTGACTAACCTCGTTCTTGAGTTGATAATTCAAAAGAATTTTTACTCCCAAACGAGTTTATTGAGGCTAATCTAAATACATACAAAAGAGTTTTAAATTGGCAGCCATTTATGAAAAGGGTCTATACTCTGAAAAAAACTCCGTCCTCGGGAAGTCTCTTATTAGTACTTATTCAAGTTCAATTTCAATCTCATTGTCACTCAAGTCAATAAGCGGGGGTAGGGTGGGGGTGGGCGCTTATTCCAGTTTGAGAGGGAGGGGAAGGGGATGGGGTGGAGGTGGGCGCTTATTCGAGGCTGGGGGCTTAGTAACTTTTACTTCCCCTAGGATGGGCGCCTATTCGAAATGGGCGCTAATTCGAGGTTGGGCGCTTATTCGAATAAATGCGGTAGTTATTTACTGTAATGTTTTATCATCTTGTGCCCATACTTGTTTTCCAGGAAACAATGATCCGTGGGAATACTCTAATAACACTGGCAGTGGTCTTGGGGCTCGCCTATGTGTTCGGCAAAGAGGCTGACACTGAAAAGCGCCAAGAAGGCGAATCTTTACTTCCTGACATAGAATCTGACGTGGCTGATGCCCCTGAGGACGAGAAGAAAGAAGAGACCGTGAATGATCCCAAATGGCGCTATAGGTACAGAGCAGGCAGAAAAAGGTACAGGTACAGGCGGTCGAGATACCGACGTAACAAACCATATCCGACACAGAAACCAAAACCTACTCCAACTCCACCCACGCCTGATGAACAGCCCTGTTCTACGTCCAGACCTCCGACTGATGGGGAGTGGGCTAATGACTGGCAGGGGCACATGTTTTTTGAGTGTCCTAGAGGTAAGACAGAACTATTCGCGTTACAATGGGCCCAATGTTGAACGACTTTTTCGTGTTCGTGAAAATAATGAAACTGAAAATGGTGGCACTACAGATATACCAGACGTGAAAATTAAAGAGACAGCATGAAAAATTAATTGATCAATCCCTGAATAGATTTGAGAAAACTTGAAGGTTTTTGAAGGATTGTGCCTACTTTAGGTCAGGGAGCAGCTTTCGCAAGCTGCCACGTGACTTTCTCCCCCGCATAGGCTCAAAGAGTCGCTCAAACGGTTTTTCTTCGGGTGGAGAGAATCCGCTGAGCGATGTGAGGACAGTCGCAGGGCTAATTATAAGTGCAGGCTATGCAACTACACTGAAAAACGAACGTTCGAGCCTTCGCGGAGGAGAGAGGTCACATGAATGGTTCAATACGTTTGGGAGAACACTAAATGGAGCAAGCAACAGCTGCTATACTATGATGGTAAACTGAATCATAAGCTCAAATCACAGTCTTTGGTTAAAATGTTTATCATAATTTAACTGCAACCCACACATATGGAAGAACCTAAAGTGCTTGATCTTGCTTAGCTAAACAGGTTCTTATATTTTAGGTATCAGAATTGAGTTGTAAATTTCTGCCAGCAGGTTCTTAAACCACTAGGTTCTTCAGTTACACGCGGGTTTTCATTGTACTTTTCAGAGATAGTGTTCCGCGTTTATGCTCAGTGGTTTTACTTCCACTTACAGGTCAAACAAGAGCAAGGAAATGACAAAAAGAATCCATTCTTTCTGTTTGTGTTTGCGTATAAAAGTGTGTGAAACAGGCTGAATTTCACACTGTTTGTTTGCCATTACTTTACTAAGCGAATAGTGTTTAGTGAAAGAGTTATGTAGCTCGTTACATTTTTCGTGTCATTACTCCGTTTCTGTGATATGATACTATGCGATGTTGATTTACAGGCAGCACTATCATCTCTATAAAGAGTGTTTTCAGAGATTGCCAGCATGACCGTATTTGGGAATTCGGCTGCGGTTACAATGAGGCTTCCACTTCCAGAGGTCACTGTCACTGGGACCATGGATACGTCAACGATCCGAAAAAGGGCATCTTCTTCAACTGCCCCAATCACGGTTTCATTGCAGGTAACAGCCCCGCCTTAGTTCTCAGACATCCCTTTGGCGCGACGCGCAGTGTGAAGCCAGAGGCATATCACGAAGAGCGTGCAACTGCCATACTAAGCCTCTGTCTCCGTATTTTTACAGACCTGTCTATTTTTAGGCTTCTTTTCTCTCCAAATAGGTCAGTTCCGGTCTATATGAGAGTGCATCGGCAAGGAAAAAAGTGGCGGCCTGAGTTGGACATGCATATGTCAACAGAATAATTAAAAATAAAGTCCGTGCTTGTGATTGATCACTGAGGTTCCTGCGGGGGTCTGAATTCGCCGCAAATTCAAACTAAAAATACATCGGTCTGTGAAAACGCCGTGACAGGAATATGGGGTAGTTGCACGCTCCTAGTGATGGGCTCCTGGTAAAGCATAATAAACCATAATAGTCTGTTCCAGGCTCTTGGTCAGTCCCAGACCCCGCTTGTCGCGCGCCCGCTTTTTCCATCGTCCTGCCCACTGACCGAGATCCTGGAACGGGCTAAAAGCATAAGCGAGAGTAAGATTAACACACAGCACGGGTTTTTCCTGTTTCTTTGAAACATAGAGAACCGTTTTCACCCATTATTGTGTTAGATGGAACAGATCTTTCAATCTAAGGTACTTTCTCACAACTTCCAAAGTTTTCAGCGCCTGTTCGCGTATTTTTCTCCGCACCAACGCCGTGAATTTTTCACGCGGCTCCTTAACTGCCAACCGAACGACTGGAACAACCTAGACTCGCACCTGCCCAGATCTAGAGGGCACTGTATGGTTATGAAGCTCGGCAAACATCAAATGCGCAAACAAAGATGTGCAGTCCTTTATTTTGCACTCATAAAACGTGCGTGAACAATCAAAGCGTTTCTATTGGTTTGTTGTTTAATCAACAATGAACTTTGTTGGGTTTATTATTATCCTCTAATAAAGGAACTCAGTCACTGTATTTTGAGTTCTTTTGGCGGCATACAAAATTACCTTACAATTGAAGGAAACCCACAAATAGTAGTTTACTGAGATAGAAAAACGCCATAGAGATAAAAAAAAAAAATAATAAAAAAATAAGCCATAAAGGAACAAGGATGGTTAACAAGAACTGTAAACGACAAACGTGAAAAGTTTAGGCTAACCTTTTCAAGATGCGCAAACATTGACGTGCTCAGACTTCGTTCCCAGTCTTTCGAACTCCCAACTAGTGCAGGTAATTTTTGTATTGTAATGTAATGTTATTGTTGCAGTAAAAACTAAAACTCCCGCGCCACAGAGCGCGTGAAAGAGAGCGGTGGGAATAAGAGAAACTGACTGAGGTTGCAGATAATGGCCCTTACTTAACCAATCTTCTTTTCTTCTTGTTTTCACGCGTAGGTGTCAGCAGCGATTTTTTTAGCGGGCACGGAGATCGACGCTTTACTTTCAAATGCTGCAACGACGAAGAGTTTGACCACGTGGATTGCCACCATTCGCGTCTGCTTAAAGGCGACTTCGACTACAAAGTGGATCGCGACAAGCGGTTTTATATCACTGGCATTAACAGCTACTTCATCGTCGGGAAAGGGTAACTATGTTTATGATGCCTTGCCGGCTAGGGCTTACCCAGAGGAGGGTCCCAGAACCATGCAACCCTTCCGAGTTGCAACTTTTGCAAATAAGGTCTATTTGACATATGAAGTTTTCCAAATGTCATTAAAAAAATACGCGCTCCTCCACGGCTGTACCTGTGCTATTGAGACCAACTACCAGTCTATGAGCCCACAAGATGGCATATTAAGTTAGGGAGGTACCGTGACCTCATGGTTAGTGCGCTCGTCTCCGAATCGAGCGGTCCGGGTTCGAGCCATGGCCGGGGACATTGTGTTGTGCTCTTGGGGAAGACACTTTACTTTCACAGTGCCTCTCTCCACCCAAGTGTATAACTAGGTACCGGCAAACTCAATGCTGGGGGTAACCCTGCGATGGACTAGCATTCAATTCACGAGAGAGCAGAGATACTCCTAGTTGCTTCATGTTACAGAAACCAGGATAAGCTCCGGCCTGATGGGCCACTTGGCTCGTATGCAGACTAATTAAGTGATTTTCAGTTTTCCATGTAGATATTTTTTGGATGAAATATTTAGCTCATGGCTTGCACGATAGCTTCAGTTCTAGTAAATTGATATCGATTGATATTATATTAAGGTTAGAATGCAGTTTAGAGCTAAATAAATTGCATCGACTTCTCTACCACAGGGATAGAAACTGGAAGATTGACTACTGCAAGTCTGAACCAGAATACTTCGGTTCGGGTGAAGGTTTCGTCAGTGACCCCGAGGAATCAGATGTCATCGAGAACTAAACACTTGTTATGCCCAAGACGATCTGAATATTAAGCTGCACTTAGACTCTAACCTTGTTCTCTTAGTAATCACAGTCATTGAAGGTAGCGCGGATACTGACCAACAAGTAGTTTTGTAGCAAAGACATATCAGATGAGCTTCTTGTTCTTTCAATTTTTGAGTATATATTAGGTAGCGAAAGAAGCCCACATCGGAGTTGTAAAATCATGTAACTGCATTAAAAGCCTGGAAAGTTGTCAATACCTTACCAATACCTCATAAATGTTTTCATACTTCACCAGCTAGAGAAATGAAGCACAGGCGCTACTTTGTCGGCCATTACTGAGACTTTCGCAAGTGGAGCAGCTCCACAGCTCGTGGGAGGGGGGCGGGCGGACCGAGAAAGAACCCGTTACACCCCCTACCTATACACACACAGGCCCTATAAACGAGCCTTAATGACCAAAATTACCACCGTCACCCTACCATCATACAAGTGTCAACCTGCTAGCCAACATCACCGGCACATTGCCCAACACAATCTGTCCACAGACCTTTTTTTTTTTTTTGCTACGATGTATTTTTTGCGCTCGGCCTTTTTCGACTTTTCAAATCCCCTGCGATTAATGCTTTTGCTCGCGATGTCGACGAACCTAAGACAAAATAGAGTCTGGACAGACTAATATACACAATCATCACAAGTGGGATATCACGGGTCTATGCAAATGTGAGACACTCGACCTCACGGGCTCCCTGTTCAAAGGTGTCTGTTACGTTAAGCGCACAACGACTCACACATCAAACAATACGCCGCACGCGCTTGTGCTCCAACGTGAGCCTGCTCGGAGGCCAAACTAGCCACGACGAACGAGCTGATTATAAAGAGACTGCAGAGAAACAAAAGTTCCTATTTTGTAATTTTGATTTCAAATACTCCGGTCCTTATCCACAGTTTACTAACTCTTTTTTATTACAAAACCAAGTCAGTTCAGAAAGTCAACAGCTTAAACCAACCAATCGGACTGCTCTATTGCCGGTCTAATTAATCCAAGTACTGGACTCTATCCCGAAGGATCCCGCGCGGTTTCCTTGTAGTTTTATGACTTTATACTTTCCTTAGAATTAACTTACACATAAACAATTTTTTTTTCGCCCACCTTTCCTTTTTTTGTTGTTTTCGTTGAACACGTTAAACGTGAGTAAACTCCACGTTGGCTCTCAATCAGAAATGTGCAATTGATTCCGGTCCGTCGGATTTTTCCAAACCATAATCGAAACTTGCTCGGAACGATACTTGGAGAATATCAGCTTTGGTCGCTGCACTGAGTTCGTACTGTTCAAGACTCGGAGGAACTTCGTGCTTGGTCAATGAGATTTACACAATTCTGTAATATCATCAAATGTTATATTAATCTTCATTTCTGTATTTTTTAAAGACTTCGTCTTTAAGTTATATTAACTTTTCGTCGGAGAAAGCGTACAAACTTGTAATCCAGAGATCGCGGATACAAGTGCTGTTCTAACCAAAAGGTAGAACTGTTTCTTAGTAGACCCAAGTTCCATTCCTCGGCCATGTTTGTTAATAGATAACTTGTTCGCCTCCTCCCAGTTGGAACTTTTAACCATTTCATGTTAAACTGGACATATTTGTTTCTAATATCTTTATGCTTAGTCCCATCAGCACTTGCGCTTAATTCCCGAGGGGAGGGTACTCCCTATAATGGTCTATACAGTGAGGCTCCACCCGAAGGGGGTACCTTTTTCAGGTATATCAAAGGGTGGGGAATTCACAAGTTTAGGTCTATGAAGGGGTAGTGCGATCTGTCATTTAGTCATTTTAATGGGACTTTAATTAAAATATTTCCAACAGACACACCTTATGGAAGTATCATTTAAATTAGTAGGTAGTACACGAAAACTTCCTTCCTTTCTTGGCGTTTTAATCGTAATACGGGCCAGGCCAGTTATGAGAGTATGTGAAAGGGGTACATTTCTCTAATTATTTCAAGGTATACAAAAACGGTGCCTTTTCTGCCGAATTGGTATAAAAAAAGTAAGGGGTTAGACCTCTGGGCAGAGCCTCCCCATATAACTTTATAGGGTTCCCCCCCCCGGGGGGGGGGG